CGCAAAACTTTTCATTTAGCTCAATGTACTTCCTGGTCAGTTCGGCTGCTACGGCAACACAGAAACCACAACAATGGAGCGGTTCATCGATTTTACTTTGAGTTTATATATGTATATATAAAGGGTTTCACATAAGTGAAGACATCTCAAGAGAACACACAGAGCGAGGGGACATGCACGTCTCTCTGAGCTGAGTTATTGACAGATTCGAATTTCGCGGATCAATATCATGAACATAACGTTGTAAAAATACAAACAACATGACTACAATCATAGCAAGATAGACAACGAGCTACAGAGTCGTTTTTATCAGAACAGTTCGATACGCGCCGTCATCTGAGCTAAACATCAAGAATTGGTCACAATCTGCAGCTTGAGGAGGGAGAGGAGTGCTTAGGGACCTTCTACAAACTGCAACGGGGTTTTGCGAGATCTCGCAAAGGGGTTTTGCAATATCTCGCAAAGGTTACGCAGTTTTTTTTTTTTTCAAATAATTTTTTTTTCCTTCTCCATGTCCCCTAGGGGGCTCCGTACATTTTAGCCTCATTTCGCTCTATTTGCTCTTTTCCAGCCCTGTTTTTGCAAGGGCTGATTCGGATTTTGTGGCAGACTACAGCGCCACTTACAGGCCTGGCATATGTACTACAGCGTCTCCAGCATTTTCGAGCGGTCTCTCATTCCCCTGATAGGTGGAGAGTTGCCCATATAGGCGGAGCACAACTTTTCTGACATCAGAACATTTCAAATAATAATCAGCTCCGTTGCAGCCCCGTTTTTAGAGATTTGGGTATGGAGGAAAAGAGAGAGGGTTTTGTTTTCTGACACTTGGTGAGTTCCCTGACACACCGGGGACACATATTCATGTATAAAAGACGTACAAAAGTGCATTCTGCATGATACTGTAGGTCCCCTTTAAGTTAAGATTCCATCAACCTATTTAGCATTTAAATAGCCACAGGAATGAAAGGACCCAGTGTCTCCTTTTTATTTTAAACATCCTGCAGCGACAGCCTGAATGAAAAAGGTCAACCTCTGTTATCAGAAGAGTTATGCAAGGATCACTTGAGCCTTATCGACGGCCCTTACAATAACGGTCCTGCGACAATCACTTCGTTAGCCACTTTGACAGCCTGTTTTTAATCCCTGGGTTTGATTCAAAGGATGAACCCGGGCACCATTGAACATGAAACAAACGGAGAAAATACAATGAGGGCAGTAAGAAGGTAGTATTGTTTTTCCTTAAAGAAAATAAATAACTAAAGGCATAAACAAATCAAAGCTCCAGTGCATACTAGAGTAGAGACACCATTTCAATTAATAAAGTACATTAAAACAGATTAATAATAATAATAATAATAATATTAATAATGGTAATAATAATAATAATAATAATAATTGAATGTCTATCCTTTCGTTCGCTTTAAGTTTGATTGATAATTGTTGAAGTTTAGTGAGCTGATAAATGGAGAATCTTCCTTCCTTGATTATAAATAATCCTAACAGAGCAGATGGAAGTTTGAGACCCATATAAAAAGCAGAAGTTCAGAATTCAGAGGAGTTTGCTGCTTTGTAGATGTGTTTACTTGGATGTGTGTGTGTAGCTATTGGCAAAAGTGAAGTGATTGCACCTACTGTAAGAAGGGGTATTTATTTTCCTGGCAGGAGGGCTACACGCCTCAGGTGGGATCATGTGACCTCTTGACTTCTGGCAACACTTAGGGGAGTAAAGAATAAAGTGACCAAATCTAAAGGCAATAACTAGAATAAGCTGATAAAACAAAGTCACACCATACTTTCTAGGAAAGAAGATCAATGACAGCGACAACAAAGTTAACCCTCAGGACAATGACCAAGTAGTATTCAGTAAAAGAGAAATCATAAATAATCAGAGTCATTCCTCTTGCCACAAAAAGACACACACACACACAAACACACGAAACAACACAGATGAGAAATGTTTAAACTACAATATATTTGTAGCATTATAAAAGATTAAATGTCTCTGTTTTTCTTCCCGGATAGAATATAACTTATTACATTTACTTAATAATGTACTTAAGTATACATTTGAGGTAGTTTTGCATTATTTTAAGATTGGTACATTGTATATAATGTTTTTGCACTGCATTTATCCTAGGGCAGCAATAACTATAAGACTATCAAGACTTGAAATACAACATTTAGGAGGTGATAAAATATGTTGCACTGTTAAAGATTAAAATACCAAACAGCATAGTAGTATTTAAAATTAGCTCTCCCTCGAGCAACCCTGATCCATAACTATAACGCTCCTGGGAATTTAAATATCATCAATAATATTCCAATAATATGCAATTTGAAGCAAACTTCAATTTGAGACAACATGTGAATACACCCTCTGCTGATGTTAAGTACCAACACTCACCTCTGCAGGGCGGTATTTTGTGCTGTGGTTCTGCACGGATTCCTATTCAGGCCAATCAGCATGCAGGAACACTTTCCATCACATCTGCCCTTTGAAATATCGGACACTGATGCCCCCTGCTATCTGACATCACGGTGCCCCTGCTGTTATCTGCTGTGCTAGATGGATGTCTACCTTTCAGGAAATGGACCTGATGAAAACACTGGTCAGTGGATACTGATGGACAGATAATTCATTATACAACCCCAATGTGTATGGTTCTGTAATTTAATGTGTGTATGTGAATATATATATGTTAGCAGGGCGAGAGTTTAGCTTTTTTCCAACAAATACTACCACTGTGTGTGTCTCTAGAGAAGCAAAGAATATTGAAGACCACTGTACTGCACAAGTGAGTGGTGAATCTGAATTAATAATTTATAAAAGAACATGCATGATTAATTAATAGTGGAAATTATCATAAGTTGCAGCCCTAGCCTGATACATGGTTAGTTCAATACACGAAGACACCATCACTTGTACAGAATGTCTTAAACATTTATTGTTTAGAAAAAAAATAAAATAGTAACAACACAAAACATTTTGTACAAAATCAACATGAAACCATCACTTCATTTAAGCAGAATTAAAATGTCATTTATATATACAGTATATTTTATATTTGTTTGGTCATAAAGGTTTGTACATTCATTTATAGGAAATGCAGGACAAATGAGCAGCGGTGGGATTGTATCAACATTTGTTGCCTCATTAACTAATATTTGTATATGTTACAGTTTCATTTCATTTAAAAGAACAATTATTACAATCATAGTCAATGATGCAGCAATCATAGGAATGTCACTTAGAACGGTAATGTACAGAAGTGGAGAAAGAGCTTTGGATATGTTAAAACATAATTGGTTTTCTGCACAAATGAGATCTACAATAACAATCCTGAAACCACACTCTAATATTCAAAAAGTAATGTAGCTTACCATCATCAGCATATCTAAAAGTAGATATTAAAGCAAGGTTTGGCAATCATCATAGAAATGCTAGAACAGTGTCCAGTTCTTCACACTCATATTCACATACTCACAAAGTATTGGGTGATGTATTATAGACCTGATCTGTGGTACTGAATGTTACCAGCGACGGGACAACAACTGACACAGAGCCAGAATTAAACATTATATTAAAGCTGCATTAAGTGTTTGTTGACCACCGTTTCTTCTAGTCATCACAATGTATTAGCAGTGTTGTCCACAGGTTGATTTGAATTACATTTTATTATTAGAATCTGCTGCATTGCAATAGGAGGGTTTGCTTCATTTTTTAATGAATGCATCACCCCAAGAGACATTTAAGTCAATCTGAACATTCAGCAGTTTTCCAACATGACTTTTTCTTTCGAAACAATACATAAAATAAATACACAAAAGAAAACAACATGGTAAAAAAATCGACATGTGTGTTACCCGAATACATTTGATTTATGGTAAACAAAGGTGCTAGCAAACCGCTTACAGTACATACACGTCTAGTATACACGGCACAAACATGAGCACCCAAATAAAGTTCACTTTCAAGGCAGATTTTAAATGTACATCCAGTATTTACTATCATTTCAGATCCTGAGAAAAAAAAAGTGTTGGTACATTTTTTTAAAAGATACTCGTTTACTTCAACTCTCTTCACATTGTACGAGGCAAGTTTGCTAACTCCTGTAACTGGAACTGCTCACAGTTGTATTATAAGTAAAAGGTTTTATTGTTATTTTATTTTTCAGAAAGAAAACCACAATTCAAGGGTGGCTTAGATCTGCATAGTGCCATGTCACTAAAGTACCACCTGTTCCAGAAGTAATTTGATTCAATGTAAATGAAGACAATTCTGCTTAATGCATTTTAAATATCTGTATTTACAGTATATTCTCATATGATTAGGTACCGATTAAAAACCAAAACTCAAACAAGATAAATGTTTGCATTGAGTATCAAGGATTTGTACTTATTTGTGAAATCATTTAATTATAAGAAAAATAAATGGAATAAATAGCATGCTTTTAAAATTAAATGAATGGACAAACCATGTACCTACTGCGTTTATGTTAAAATTGCAAGTTATGTATGCTTTAACCTTATAGTGTTTAAATTATGGATCATAAATGACCGTTTTGATATCCCCAGTTGTAGTCATATTGCCCCAGAATTAGCTTATGGTTTGTTAACAGTAATATTTTAACTAAGCAACAACTTCCAGGTCTTAAAGGTGAAGCCAATGTTGAAGATCCTTAAATTAGATTATCTTTAATATACAGCAGCCAGCATCTGTTATCATTTTCCTGAGGTTGTAATTCTTCTTTTATAAAGCATAATGTTAATTTAGTAAATGAATCCCCTCTAGATATAAAGAGACAATGAAGCAGCATATGCTTTAGGGCTTGGCAACCTGAACATGTAGTCCCATTTTGTTTTCCAGTCTCAGTGCTCTCTATGTGTTTGTCTTGGAATTATAAACCTTTTCCAAAACATATTTTGGTTTCTTCTTCGCAAACATTATGACAAGAATCTAAACCAACAATCAGAACCGATGTAAGACCCAACCCTTCAGGTTTCACTTTTAACATTGTCTTGTTAAGGCTAATTTGTTGCTTCTGGCTCCGAAATACTGGCACAGTTAGACCGGCACACCAAGTAGACATGTTTTTGACGCTGTATAATGTCAAACACAAGGCCTTTCCTCAAACTTTAAATATTTTTAAATATTACTTTGATCCCGTTCCCATTCTATCAGGCACTGGGATGTGTGTGTGGTTTTTAGAAAAGAGGTTCCTAACATAACTAGCAAACGGCTTGCTGGAAAATAAAACTCCTTGAGAGTAAAATATTGAAACACACACATAGGTACACACTGTTGTTGCACTTCTATTCAGCTGTCTATGGTAATGCAGTTGTCTCCATCCTGGCTATGTCAAGGGGCTCCTTGACAACCAGGCTGTACCTTTTGGTCAATTTAAAGTTGCCATGGAAACCTGGGGGACAATGCAGTATAGCCGGGCTGGATATGGATGTTACAATGACGGATGGCGTTGTCGTATACGCAATCCTTGGCCCAGACTCCTCCATCCCATTGTCCAGCTGTGTGGGCGAAGGAATAGAGAGAGAGATGTTCAGGTATTGAGAGGCTCGACATGTCAAATGTGAGCAATTGGATGGATGTTTGTGTGAAAGAGAAATTATCAAAGATGGAGGTGAAGGGAGAGAATTAACTTATCAACTGTTGATGTGAAGAAAACAACTCTCCAAATAAATCACAACTGACTGAAACGCCTAGTTGGCATAAAGAAAACCTGGAGCAGTTTAATAAGAAACAAACCTTTGAAAATACATCTCACTTAAAGATTGGACATTTAAAGCTCCAATGTATGAGCTAAATTAGAGGTTTTCTACAGGTGTTAGTAGGATTCATTAATTGCAAAAGATTTCTTGGGATTCTTTTTCAAACAAAGGACACTAAATACAAGAGCATGCAATGCACAATTGGGGTCTCTTACAGTATCAGGCTGATGACTGGTGGGCTGCAGGCCGATGTCTGTCATGGAGATGTCTTCAGGCTCACTCAGCATCTGAACAGTACCCAAAGAAACACAGCTATTAAGTTAAAGTTGAGATTAGAAAAGTGATATACTATTATAGCCACATTCTGTTCAATCAAATCAACTCCAAGTCGACTTTTGAACAAAGCTGAGACAAGCATCCCTTTTGAAAAGTAGATCATGTTGTTTGCTCCCATAGCAACAATCTCCTGTGCTAACAACAACAGGTTTAGCATTATCATTGAAAAAGGGGACATAATCTCATGATGTTCTTGAAACACACTGAGTTATACAAAGTAATATATAGTTTGACATTTAGGGAATGTCCTCATTTGTCTAGTCATCTCTGAGGGTTGCCTGGCAACAAATAAGTTATACAATTTTAATGTTTGGGCTGTTACGGTAGCATATTTTCTAATTTTTGGACAGAGACAGGCTAGCTGTTTACCACTGTATCAAGTCTCTATGCTAATCTAAGCTAACAAGCTGTAGCTTAATATTTAGCTTCAGACATAGGAGACGAATCAGTTATATCATCCAACGGTCTGCAAGAAAGATAGTTTTTTTTTCTTCAAAATATCAAACTTGTATCAAAGTGTCAGGTATTAAACAACTTTAGAGGTTTCGGTAAAGAAGAAAAAAAACAATGATTTGATAGAAATAACAGATACAAATCAGTTAAAATGAAGACCAAATAATCCAGAAATATAGCAAAGTAAACGTTGAATTTATCACAAAGAGCGTGTCAGTAGAAGTACACTGTCCACATTGATGACTTTGTTAGCAAGAGTAAAGCAGGTAACCAGAGATTATAGACGAAGGAAAAATGTAAGCCTCCATCCTTTGCTCTGAGCAGAGATGGAAGCAGATGGAGTTCAGAGACTCCTCGACAATCATCCGTCTTTGTCTTCAACAAGTGCAGTCGTTGAAACACGGGGCCACATCATGCAAGCTGCAGATTAAGTCTGAAACTCCCAGATTAATGGATTAGTTTTTGGTCCCTCTGTAACGGAGTCCTGCACGGCAGTACGGCATGTGTGTGTGTGTGTGATAATACGTGCGTACTTGTGGGTTATTTGAGGTTTTTCAGTGAACTAAGATGATTACACAGAGACGGAAATGCTCCATATATTGGATGTCCCACATAAAGTGACCTGTCCATCAGCCTGAATGACGCAAACATGCGCCAAGAAGCATTGTTCTTATATATAGTATTGCGTGTTACCAAGCATTAAGATGTAGATTATGTTCAAATGCTAAACGCTATATGTTTTAAACTAGGATCTTTCCAATTATCTTTGCACAATATTCTTCATTGCAGAAACTCAACTTGGTTCACAATTAGCTTTCTCATTAACGGCCATCAAACAGTGGATCTTAAAACCTTCTCTGACTTTTCACTATTTTTCCTAGAGTGCAAAAAAAATTGATATTGGGCAACCAGTCTTGCCAACATTAATTTAACTCTAATTTGAGATGTTAGTTTAAATGAATTGTAAAGTTATCGCCATATTGACAAATGTACTAGTATTTATATTTTATACATCTGTATTTTTGATCTGTTTTAATCATAAAATGTTTTAATGTTTGTTGATCGTTATACGCGTACCTGCCCAAGGACTGCAGATGGAAATTCGTTTTTAGATGTAATCTGGCATATAGCATCTCTTCTCTTTGAGATCAATGTATTTGTATGCATGTTACTTGTTCCATAAAGATATATACTACTAATAACAATAATAATAATAACAAAACTGTCACTCACAAATGTGATCTCTCATGTTTCAAAGAAATTCAAAATGTAATACTTTTTATTAAGTGAAAACAAAGGTGATGATTCAAGTCACATAGCTGGCGAATGAACAGCTTGCATCTATTAGCAGTTGAAAGGGAGATCTTAGTGCACGGCCTAGAAGTGTTAAGTCTAAGATAATGTTTCGCTGCTTGTCAAAAGAGCTTCGTCAGTTTTGACAGACTTGCAAGGAATCAAAGGTATTTAACCTCTGTGGGGTCGTTCACACCATGAGTTGTTAAGGTGCGTAGCTCTTTAGTCCACCTTGCTGTCATATGTAACCATGACACATGCCACACGAGTCGAAGTTTGAAAGAAATATAGGAAAGAGCTTGTTTGCACCCCATGTTGTGTCAAATGTGTGTAGGGGGTGTCATGGAGAGGAGAGATACACAATGTTATTTACATATGTGGAGAACAGACACAATTTTCAAACGGTCTCTCCTGGAAGTCATTTATAATGCTGCTCTTACAGGATATGTAAGCTTTTCGAGAAAGAAAGTCAAACATAACATACAACTTCACCTAAACTGGTTTTGAATTACACACAGCTGACTGATGAGGTGGGTGTACATTTGGATTGTTGGTTTTGCAACATTACAGAAGTGATCGGACACAGCTTCATAAAGGATTCAGGGAAGGCATTTTTCAGAGCTGAATCTGATTCTGAACAAGCGAAACCTGACCCTAAGTCAGAACTAAAGAAGCCCTTAGGATAAAAGGTGAAAAACCCTTAGCCTCTTCTAAACATACTCAAACATGGGTGAAACTTGATACAGAGATACTTGCTAGTTTAACTCTGGAGTTGTGCATTGTAATCATACAGTATGAACAATTGAACTGTTTTTAAAGGGTTGTGTAGATTGAATAGCATTTGAAAATTCCGACTTGATGGTCGACTAGTGGCAGTATCAAAACCCACATTTTACTAGGATTTGCTTGATTTAAAAAATGTATTAACTTCCTTATAGAAAACGTTAACCAATGAATTTCTAAGAGTCTGTGGTCAGGTTTTACACAAAGGGAGCTACCTATTATTTCCAGAACCTTCAGTTGTTGACTCCAAAACATTTAAAAATAATGTAAACAAAATAATAGGGATGTAACGATACCAAAAACTCATGGTACGATAATATCGCGATAAAAAGTCCACGGTACGATATTTATCGCGATATTGAAAAACATAGAAAACATTTTGAATTTTTTCTTTTCTTTTTTTTACTTGAATTTTTTTTTTAGTTAAATAAGAAATCTGATTTGTACAGCATTTTAGTAGGATAGAAGTATTTTAAAGTGTCAACAATATAATAATCAGACCCTGCAATAGAATAAATCAAGTTTCACTTTAGTTTTTCAAGTAACTCTAACTCACTCACTCAACATCATCAAGGTTATCTTTTAGGAATATGAGCATGTCCACATTTCCAGGTAGAAGCTGGGATGTTTGGGCGTTTACAATATCCCCTGCTGTGGAAAAAACTCTCTTGCTTGGTACTGATGTTGCTGGGACAGAGAGATATGCTTTGGCCATGGGTGACAGCAGTGGGTAAAACTGTGCATGGTCTCTTCACCACTTCAAAAACAATACAGTTTTTGCCAAGAAGGTGAGGCTTATTGACAGGGCGAGATATAAATATACTGTTGGTACTTGTCAATGTCTCTAGGTATTTACATAGCCCTGTAAATACGATGTCATTTCGTGTTATCTGTTGAAACCTACTTGCTGCCATGTTGGACTGGTCTCCCTTGAAGAAGAGATTGATGATCTCAATGGGACCATCTGGTTAAATAAAGGTTTAAAAAAAAAAAAAAATTAAATTTAAATCGCGGTAGATTTTGTCAGTCTCACGACGGTATTGAGACATTTATTTACCGCGATATCGCGATATTCGATATATCGTTACATCCCTACAAAATAGGCATTAACCAGACACCGAAAAAGGCTTAGGTCATGAAATCCAAACGCATGACCTTAAAGCAACATGACTGCTTTAGATTATATACTGAGGAATCCTGTTTCTAACCGCGAGGAGCCTGGATTATAAGAGGGGCTCAGACCGACATGGTCTCAGTTACTCGCCATGGAATACCAAGCATAAACATGACGTCTATTGACTTTAACAGGGCTCCAAAACAACATGACCTCACTTATCAAATTCAGGAGGAGAAGATTAAAATACGCCTTGACTTAATGACAAAACAGAAGCAGAACCTGCCATTAAAGACATCATGAAACTAATGTGAGAAGATTCACACTGAGGCCTAAATGACAAAGTATGTAAGTAACAGTATGTCGACCTGATACTTACTGTGATCTGTGAGAGGTTGCATATGGCTGGGTCAGTGGGGTTGTGGGCGGCAGTGCTTTCAAACTCTCCTGTGTTTCGACCTCTCACCTTTGACCTCTTGTTGGCATGGCGCACCTGTTTGGTATCACCGGACAACTGGAGAATGTCAGGCGTCCGAGACGACAAGTCCTCCTCAGTGTCTGAGAAGCGGGCCTTTGAGGCAACACATCGAGGGAATCACACACAAACAAGACTAAATTCAGCAACTCGTAATTCAAAGCATTTGTCATTGGAAGTGTAAAACAGAGACATACCAGATTAGATATGAAGTACACTCACTGATTCGCTCTCAGACAGGGAGGAGTTGCGAAGCCTGCTGGGGCCTTTGCTCTCTGTTTGGCTGGTGACGGTTGATCGGCGGGTGGACTGGAAGCTACTGCTGGTGAAACGGTCTCTGCCAGTAACACACAGCAATACCCCGAGGTAAGGAATATACCTGCCGAGCGCTGACCTGAGGGTGAGTTGGACAGAAATACTCAAATCCATAATTGAAAAGATTTTATTATATGGGAGAGACAAGTAAAGCTCCCTGACATTCATGGATGTTGAGCTGAATTTCACAATTTAATTAGGATTTAAAAAATAGCAATACATTATCTCCGTCTATGAAAGAATAAAAGAATGTAAATTGAGTTATAAGGGAAATATAATTAAAGTTGCTGTACATGATCAGACTCCATATAGCCTGATGCTAATGAAGAAATCCACCTAGAACTGTAAACAAAAACCTCATCACCTCCTAATAAATCCATCTTAATAGAACACAAAACAAGGCGCTAAAGAAATTATGGCAGAAGAAAAAGAAAAGTTCACCAACCAGCAGTTTTATATCGTCAAGGGAAGGTGGTGCTTGAATAACTTAAATGTAAAAATAAACATCAACAAATGTAACTCTTGCTTGACTTTGAAGCCATTAATTCATCTTGTACGATGCACACTGTAATTAATAATATTATTCCATTTATGTATTTGTGCTTAGCTTAGATTGGCTGGCCAGATCAGCATCGATTAATCTGATAAATATTTTCCAGTTTAATCAAATGATCATGAGGTCATTAGAAAATAGAAATGAGAAAATGTCAGGAAATAGTGAAAGTGTCCATGCCAGTTTCTGAAAGACCAATGTAATGTCTTTCAATGTCTTTTTGTTGTCAATCTGAACACTTGAGTGTGAATCCTACCTGTATTTGGGATGTGTTATGGCATATATGATAGGGTTGTGGATTGCAGATGCCTTGGCGATCACAGCAGGAACAGAGTGCATGTACGGAGTCAACATGTCAGCGTGCCTGAGAGAGACAGGAGAGATGTTGGACAAAAAGAAGACACATTAGCCGCATTCACACCGCAGGACTTTCCCTGGTACTTTGGTTCTTTAGTTCCGTTAGTACCAATAATGTCGCGTTCACATCGCCGGGACTACTCAGTCCGGAACTCTTTTGGCCATTTTCAGTCCCTGCTAGAGAGGTGGTACGAACCTGGTGATAAAAGAGTGCCAATTTCGATTCTATTTCTATAGACAAGTTTACGCGACAAACCACGGGTAGCGCCATAACCCTACACAAATGCACTTCATTTCCGCCGGAAGTCTTTTGCACAGCGTCTGTCGGTGTAAACCGGTGTAAACAGTCAGACGGGCACTGGTGTAAACACAGCGATTTCGATGCTAACAGTGATGCTAGCTTGGGAACACGATTCTACTTCTTTGACTGGAGATGGCGTTACTCTCCCCCACCCGAATTCAGTGCAAAACTGGGAGGATAACATGACGACGTGGCCCAGCATAACGTACAGCAAAATTTGCTCCTACTTCGTTCAATCCATGGCAATAGATGGAAAAGCAATGGACAGTCTGAAGGCATATCATAAGGCTGCGCACATTCTACTTTGCCCACATGCTCCCGAAAATTGTTGACGATTTTGTTGAGGGAAGGTTACAGTTCTGCAGTAAATATCTCAGCATTTTAAAACCAAAATAAACTGCCTTATTTAGGTCATGCCCAAAGGAGCCAACAGTTGTCTGTTGTTTACATAATGCACAATTTACATGATCTCTTTATGCTGTGCAATATATCATATGTGCCTGTACTGTTTGAGTGAAAATAAAGTTTGATGTAATTTAATTTCATTATTGCACTGTTATTGCATTATTTTATTTCATATGTTCCTTAGAGTGCTACAATTTCTTTTAACACAGTTCATCATTCATATTAAGCTCATACTGTACATAAATAACACTGAATTAATTAATTGTTGAGAGGAAACTAAAGAAATGTGGCTGTCAAGAAAGAAAGATCACATGTTTAATCCTAAACAGGTTATTACAAATTAAAATATAAAAGCAGCCCACACAATTACAGTCACTATGACAATAATTCCATATAATAATATTAAAAAATACATGCATGCAGTATTTGTTGTGTTTTATCTGTTATTTAATGAGACAACTGGCTGGGTGTCGTGGTAGACAGGGACACGAGCACAGATTCTAAACCTCACGAGCACTCATGATCCAGTGGACTCTTCAGGTTAACTAGGCCAGCACAGATGGTTAGAGATGTTTGTCCAAGTTTCGGTGCCAGGCTGATGGGAACGGTTCTGGGATAAAATCTTAAAGATCCAGTCTCTGGATTCGCGCCTTTCCACGTGTTATGCGGACATTGCTACTCGCCTGGTGGCGTGTCGTCTCCTTCATTGTTTCAACTGATTGCGGCCTGTAGGTGAAAAGCCAGGGATGTTCAAACTGACCCTTCTCTCATCAAGCAAGTCTCGAATGGTGAAACCACGGTCCGCCATGACCTCATCACAGCCCTCAGATAGTTCTAGAAACCCACTGTCCATGGTGATAAACTTATCGCTGGCTTCTGCAGCATAGGCGTCAGATATAAACATGATTAGCCCATTAGGGGCCACAGTGGACAGATATTTCACCAGTGTTGCGTGATTTGTACTGGCTGAAAAGTGTCACTCCTTGAGGTCGTGGTTTGTGGCTCTCTGCATGGCACTTTCGGCACCAGTCAATGATGCAGGTGGTTCGAGGTAGTTCCCTGAACGACAAGGGCATGGGTGGCACGAATTGTCTCTCTTGGGAAGCCAGAGGATCCAGGACTTTGAACTGTTCACCCATGCACGTCAATCCAGTGACTAATCACAATGCTTGCCATTGATGTAGACACATTGAAAGCGGTGAGCAATATCTCCTTAATATTAGGTTTAGTTTTAAGCTACCATCAGGTCATCAGGCATTTGGTCAACAACAGGGAGAGGTAATCTGATGGCTTACTGGAAAGGCAACAACACCGTCACCCCAGGGGTGGAAAATTGAACCTACGCACTCCTGTATACACCGGACCTAGCATCATCATGACCGTGGTGCTAGTCACAGTAGGACCCATTTCTGCCTCGCACTGTGTGGCCTTGTCTATTTTAACAGACTGTGTTGTGTTTGAAGAGTATTGTTGGTCAAGTATGTGACGGATCCTCCCATTGGGGTCTGGCGCATCTTGAAATGTTGGTGTAGCAGGCTCAGTCTCACAGGCAGCTTGACAGGTTTCAGAGCATCTAAAAAGGGGAAGAGAAAAATGGATGGGAGCTAAATTAATGCCAGGCATAGAGTCCAGGCAGCGCATTTGTGGGGATCAATAAAGTATCTATCTATCTATCTATCTATCTATCTACTATCACACGCCAGGCGCGACCAGCACCACTACATACACACCACACACACACCACACACACACACACATACATACACACACACACACACAGCACACACAACACACACACACACCACACCACACACACACACACAGAGGCACACACACACACACAAATTAATGAAGTGCCCGTCCTGGGCATTGTTTTGCCCCATCTCAAACAATCAACTGCCTTATCAAAATACCGGTCAGCAATTGTTAGTGTATTGACCAACCTTAATTCATAATTAACAGTATTCGTCAGCTTCATATGAGCTAAAAGTTGCTGAACTTACCCTCAGCTTTCAAGTCTGGTGTTCTTTATCTGGGGGGGAGGCAGTGGTTCCGCTGGGTGAGTTGACGTCTCTTTGCGGCTGGGAGGGCGATTGTACCCCCAACCACAAACGCTGGGAAAAGATTTATCCTTGGTTGGTTTTTTGGTCACAAAGTGATAGGAACAAAACAAAAACGTTGCGGGGTGGGTTTCTTTAAATTCAATGCCTGTCAGGCCAGGTCGCTGGATTCCGGAGTCGGTATTCAGGCTTAGCGAAAAAATGTCCAACATGGAGCGCATGGACATCTGCCTCTTCGTAGCTGGTTTGTGGTCCGTAGTGCACTCTCTATCTAAACCACTCGTTCAGGTGGCTTTCTCGAGTGATTGCAACCAACTACCGCACACGTAGTCCCGAACCCACTTTTCTTCATGTTGTAATTGTTATATCCTCTTTGTCTCTGCGATATCAGTGCTTTTGTCGGGCACAACGGAGCTAGCTAGCAACAAACACCAGTCCGCCAAAAACGGAAGTGCATTGCATCGAGGAGGAGGTTCAGGATGTAGAGCGGAAACGGCTCAAATAACTTTGTTAATCAGGAATGGCCGAATTGCAAACCACGCCCCGTTAGACTCTGAATTTTTTTTGTTAGGAGCCATTTTTTTCCTCGCTACAAACCACATCCACACCTGAGCGACTAGTTTTTTTGTACTGAAAGCAGATGACCACACCTGTACTATCAACACCGGAGCGTGGAATGGATGATGGGAAAGTGTCCAGGCGCTTACTGGCAATTACATCTAGACGGTATG